GCTGCCTTTGAAACAGCTCCTTGCACCGCGACCCGGGTCTGGCCAGGGCCGGAGGGAGGAGCCGCTCATCCAGAGCAGCGCTAATGAGGGATGAGGCCGCTCTCGGGGGGAGCGGTGCTCTGCAATTAAAGACTTGCCATGCATTGATCTCGGCTTTCACAGCAGAGGCTGTTCGATAGACCCAGTCTTAACCAGAGATGCAACAGACGTCATTTTGTTCCAAAAGAGAGAGAGACTCCACAGTTGCCAGGGGGTTTGTGTAGGATGGGCAAAACCTGCACCCCAGCACCCCCATCCCTCCTATGTGACAGCACAGGGACCGGCCCCTGAACAGAGCACAGCAAACTACAGGAGAGGAGAGGAAGGAAGTGAGTGATCCCCAATAGTGGCATCAATATCCAGTATAAAAGTACTCTAGAAGTGGTTTATCCCTCAAAGCAAGCATGGAGCTCATGGCTGTCATTTAAATAACTGCAGCGAGTGCTTTGCCTCTGCCACACAGAGGCTTCAGCAGATGGCTTATGGGGTCAATCCCAAACCAGACCGCTCACTTGGGGATGGCTAGCAACGCAGGACAGCAAAGCTCTGGCCTTTCCAGCACTCTGGACTTTCCAATGTTGACTTCTGGGCTTTGTCTTTTCAGCTTTGGAAAGTCATCACCTTTTTTTTCTCCCCATCTCCAGTGACTTGCCACCTGCCTCAGGTGAAGGCCTGAAGCAATCGAAAGAGATGAGCCACGAGCCACATTGCTGTGAGCAGCATCTTTACATAATACTTTACAGAGAGGAGAGCACTCAGCAAATAACATCTTTCAACCTGTTCCCGTTACAGAAAGGCAGTTCCCCATGGAGAGGGCTCCCCGTTTTAAAAAGTAATTAGAGACCTCCTGTAGCAGGTTGCTTATGCAAGGCAGGACAGGCAGCAGAGCCAGTTGCTCCACTACTTTTAACTGCTTACACCAGAGGCAGCCCCTCAGATCAAGCAGCCCCTCTGTGGGTGCATCCATTCCCTTGACCCCCAGCAGTCGACGGGAGCACAGAGCATTTGTCCAACCAAAATCCTGGGGTGCTCTCACCACCCGGCTGCTCCACGGTCCCACTGGTTTGATTCTGTCCTGGAATCCCACAGCTTCTTTCTTAGGAACAATCTAAAAACTGAAATAAACCCCATGCCATTTTGTATTAACATTAAATAAAAGCGATTTGGGTGTAGCCTCACCAGCTCGCTTGATACTCAAGCTTTGCAGGCAGGACACATCACAAAGCAGAGGTGGTAGCAGTAAGAAAAGTCCTTTTTCCTGAGAGAGAGATTATTAAGGGGCCAGGGGCAAGCAGAAGCTGCAAATACATTGGGCTTTTGATTTCTAACTTTGATTTACAAAAATCTCCTGTTACGAACAGTCTGGGCTCGCCAGAGCCTGGTGCCACCCTGCAGGTGGCTGTGGCCGTGGCGCTCGCTCGCAGGTGGTGGTGGCAGGGCTGAGATGGGGAGGCCGAGCACTCCTCCCTTGACCCCGCTACTGCTTGGGCATGGTGAAGTCCCACGCTGTCTCCTGGGCGCATTTCCACATCGCCCGCATGAGTCGCGTGAAGCCCATGTCCTTGGGCTTCTCCAAGCCTCTCATAAGGCGCTGCTTCATTATGGCAACAAACTCCTTGTTGCTCAGCTCGCCATTCCCTGTGAGAAGAAAAACAAGTTAGAAACACTAAAAAAACCCACCAAGGACCTCCTCCCCGCATGCACTAACGTTAAAGGGAAGCAGGCACAAGCATCATTTCTTGAAGCCTGAAATCACATTTTGGCTTCAACCTCCCAAAATACCCTGCTGAGCACGGGGTTCAAGATCCCAACCCTACGGACGCTGCCCTGCTTAGCCTGGCACCACGACGTCTTGCAGGGCCTGAAGCTCTGAGGCTTTAACGCAGAAATGCACAGGAAACTCTCTGCTTTAAGTGACACACGAAATTACAGGAGCACGGGGTAACAGAGCACAGATTTTCCTTCATGAAGGAGAGGGGAAGATTCATTAAAGTAATCTAGTGAGGTTATTGAGAATTGTGTCAACTAAATTTGCATTAAAAATAAGATTATAGTAAATGGGGGGAAATTGTATCCTGTAGTTGCTTAAGCACCAATAATAAATTAAAACCTCTGGGTTTTTTATTCAGGGAGCTGGTTGATCAGAGGGGACAGCAGGAAGCCACGGCGTGACTGACAGCCTGACACCTGCCTGCTGAGGGGCTGATGGCTTCTGTCACGATGCCACACGTATCCCATTGCCTGTTTTGCTGCCCTGCCTATGGCACACAGCTGATAGCGCTGATTTTAGCTTCTGGGGAGCAGCACAGAAAAACAACCCACCTTTGGGCCCCAAAAGAATACAAGGGCCATCAAGAAACAGTTCTGCCAAAGCCATCAGCTCCCCAGATCAAAGGAGAGAGAATCTCTCTGTCTGATTGTTATGAAGAACCACATCATTACATTTCATGAACGAGTCTCTTCATTTGAGAGCTTTTTTCCTGCCTTACATCCGAACGCAAATCTGGGACGCGAAATTCCAGCAAACTATCAAGGGGTAAGTAAAATTCCCTCTGGTGCTGCAGGTTTTTAGATGTATGCATGGTAATGCCTATAAACACCGACAGAGTAAAAACACACACACACACACACACACACACACACGGTCTACGCCTGCTTTTCCACTCAATCCTTAAAGGAACACCTCTGACAACGACAGTTTTCCCACCCCCCAAAGGCTTGCTATCAAAATATTTAGCAGGTTCTCCGATGAGAGGATGCAAACAGGGAATATTTGGCTATGCTTCGGCTCACTCTAATCTCTAGCCTGATCATCTGGCTTGAGGATCGTATCAGAAAGTGGCACTGAAGCACAGAGATAAATAAAACAAGAGATCCAACCTCAGAAAGGTGCAAAGGAGCAGATGGGGCTGAAACCAAGAGGGACAATGAGGCATGAAGACATTTTTTCAAATGATCATATTTGTATCAGAAAACAAGTAACTGTCTATTTATGCATCGCTGGTGCTGCTCAGAGCTGCCAGAGCCCAGTGACTGTGCTGGAGAAACACGGTGCCAGCAAGATCTCTGGTTTTGGCTTGACAGTTTTGGGCAAATGCAAAATTTTGCTGCTTTCCAAGTCTGAATTGCTGCCATTATCCCCTGGTGGCAAAGACTCCACGAATTCTCATTAAATCAACCCGAGAGCACTTCAGTGTGGCGACAAGCTACCCTAAAGCCCTCGCATCCTTTGCGGGCCAGCAAGGCACAGAGCTGCCATTAATTAATGACGCTGATATTTGCCCAGTACTTTGGAGAAAAAGTACCAGACAGGCTTGTTTCCAACAGAGGAGGACAATAGCTCACTTTGTTAAATAAAAGTTTTGTGGGAGGGGAAAAAGAAAGCTGTGTAGCAAGCTGTGCATTTTGCACTCGCACCTCGAGTGCTGTGTTCAGTTCTGGGCCTCTCACTATAAGAAGGATGTGGAGATTCTGGAGCGTGTTCAGAGAAGAGCCACAAGGATGGGGAGGGCTCTGGAGAACAAGCCTGATGAGGAGCGGCTGAGGGAACTGGGCTTGTTTAGCCTGGAGAAGAGAAGGCTGAGGGGAGACCTCAGCACCACCTCCAACTGCCTCAAGGGAGCTTGTGGAGAGGTGGGTGCTGGTCTCTTCTCCCAGGTGATGGGGGATAGAACAAGGGGAAACGGCACCAAGCTGTGCCAAGGGAGGTTCAGGTTAGAGCTAAGGAGGAAGTTCTTTACTGAGAGGGTCGTCAGAAGCTGGACCAGGCTGCCCAGGGAGGTGGTGGAGTCACCATCCCTGGATGTGTTTAAAGAGCGGGTAGACGAGGTACTTAAGGATATGGTTTAGGGGGTAGACAGGAGTGGTTGGACGTGATGATCTCAGAGGGCTATTCCAACCGAGTGATTCTGTGATTCTGTGATCTTGGAAGCTGGGTACCATCAGCTACCCTCTCTAGAAGGGCAGGAGCATCTGTATAGACCCGCAGCCAAAGAACAGACGGTAGCATGGCAAGAAGAGCCATAGCCATGGCCATGGCAAGCTTTCATGGCTGGCGTTTTTTCCCCCTGCATTTCTTCCCCCAGATCAACTCTCGCCCAGCCCGGCCGACAGGAACGGGTCACTCACCGTCGCAGTCAAAGAGCGCGAACACCACGTCACACACGTGATCGGAGAGCTCCACCTTGGCCACCGTCCTGGCCACTTGCTGCATCGTCACTGCAACGGAGGGAGGACACAAGGTTAGAGGAACGCTGTGATCTGCCCGCTGCGGCGAATGCAGGCAGAGGAGCGGAAGACTCTTCTTCCTCCACGGAAAACTGCCTTTACTAAAACGTGTCATGTTCAAAGAGGCTTGGAATAAGCTTCATCCCCAGCCTGTTCAACAAATGCCTCAAAACTGGGCTCCTCAAAGCCTTTGCCTTCCTCCCGCAACACCGCATGGGGTGTGGAGAGGCTGCTGCTGAGCACCGACATGCTGATACCTGTGTGTTCAAAATTAACATTAAAAACACTGAGATGAAATGTTTTTTTTCCCCTCTTTGATTACAAAAATCAGAAGCATCAGCACCAGGTGGGAAACCTTTCCTGACAGGCTTGATCAACAAGGCAGCTCCTTCTGGCGGCACTGCAAAGATACTCTACAAACCAACTATTCCAGCAGGCTGGGAATAATAAAAACCAGCTTTCCTGTTAAGTAACCCAGGCCAATAATTGCAGAACGAACCCATTCGCCCACTCCCTGCGACAGGCTCTGCAGTGAGCAGACAAGGTTAACCCTGCAAGAAAATAAAGAGTTGTAACAAATTATTTCACTTCCCCTCCGCCCCCAGAACGGCAGCAGAGCTCATCAGCAAAGCAGAGAGCAGTAGTTTTGTTCACACCTCTAGAAAAGTGCAATCCATGGAGCTATTAATTTGGTAGGGTTATGCAGTAGATTTTGCTGCATAAAGGGAAAAAAAACAACCCCAAAACCCTCACTGGGCTGGTTTAGCCTTTCCCCTCAGGTATTTGTGTGAGTCTGGCTGCCCTCTAATCTCCCTTTGACGGCTGCTAAGTGAAGGACCGAGAGGAGGTAAGAACAGCTCAGCTGTCGCTCTTTGTCGGGGCTGAAACACCCTGCTCCCTTCCAGATACCTGATGAAATGGAAGGGCTTTGAATGAACATGAACGCATTTTAAGTTAAACGGCTTCCCTACAAAGCCTGACCCCAGGAAATCCTGTCCAGAAAGACCCCGCGCCGCGGCAGCGAGCCCACAGCAACCGAGATGAACATTTCGCTGCAGAGCTCCCCTCCAGCACGGCAAGAGAGGGAAGTGGTGTGACAGAAAAATCACACTGAAACAAAAAAAAAGCCTCTGCTTTCATCCTGCTGGGTTCACACACTCGGGTCCCTTTGCAGAGCTGCTGGCCCTTCAGAAATTTTGAAGAGTTGTGTCAGAAAGGAAGAAATAAGCAACCAATCTATACCATAACCAGATTAACTGTAAGCTGTATTAAGTGTTTCTAATATGATTCTTTTTCATGATTGTTCAGATTACTGGTTCCTTCCACCCCATTTCTGCTCCCTTGAGTGCGGTTTGGCGTTTTCAGGGAGGAATTCACAGCCACCATCAGATCCCTTTCCCCTATAAAACCCCTACTTTTACTAAACAATGCAGGAGAAAACTGAAATTAAACAGAAGGTGGATTAAAATGTGTAGAATCGCAAGTAGGCACCTGCTCTTCCTCTGCCATTACTCTTCTTTGAGTTCAAGTCCTTTCCTACGTGAGAGATGTGGCTCTGGTCTGCAATCACTGCTCCATATTTCAGCTCTGTTACCACAAGTCGGGATATGGCCCCTGCTTCTGTCCATGTCCTGCTGGCAGCCAGAGCTTCTTTGGGGAGGACAGAGGCAATGTAATCATTAAAGAAAGCTTGAATTGCTTTTGTTCCCCAGCCTTACACCTGAACCTGGCCAACCGAGTGCTGGGGAGACCGCCTGCCTCTCCCAGCCCACCACGCTGTCCAGGCTGCAGAGTATACCACAGCTCTCAAGAAAACCTGGATAGCAAAGGAAACGGGGGGAATTAATGTTTTAAGTACAGGAACAGCCACCACATCCATGCATCCCTTTTCTTTCACCTCTCTCCTTCTGAATATGCACAAATTAGCCAGCGAGATGCAGTGAATGAACTGCAACGCAAGTGAGCGGGCGCATTAGATGGCAGCAGCCCTCCAGAAAGGGCTTTAGCAGTCAACCATTTAATTGATTCTCTCATACCGGCATCAAACGCTCACAAATTAAATGACAAAGCTGCCTTCAGCTTTCCCCCTTGACCTGAGAGGGAGGGACCGATGGCCAGCATCGCACATAGCCCAAACCAGAAGAGAGGGGAACTACAAACTGCACAGGTATATAATGCAGTATTTTCAGGTCCTCTTTGATCAAACGCCAGGGACATGAAGTGGCACTAAATGCCAGAGCCAAACTGTGGATGGCACAGTCCTTTTTACCAAGATAAATACCACGCCGCTGGATTTTATATATGTTTTTGTAAAGGATGACTTTCTCCCCCCCAGTCAGGCAATGCCTGTTCTCTAAATACAGTCCTGGCTCTGGCCAGCTGCAAAACACGCACTGTAACTGGTACCTGCCACATGCACTGCTGGAGGACTGCAGTCATGTGTAAAGCTCAAGGAAAAAGAAGAGATTTAGGTAAAATAAAGAGTTCATCTCAACTTATTTCTTGGCTTACTTTAACCCCAGAAAGTCCGTCTGCTGGGGTGGCACTTTAAAACACCTCAACTTTGGCAGCCGCAGAGATTTCAAGCGCTGTAAGCCAACTCTTCAGACAGCGAAAGCAAATCTGCATTTCCTCAGACAGCAACAACGAATTTCATTTAACTCCTTTTAAATGTAAATCTTCTTCAAAGGCATTCAACCAAGCTTTGACACCATCCTTTCCTCCTGGTGTCCCCAGGTACCTTACCAAAGAAGTTGTTTGCCTTATATGGGGGGGAAATAAAAGAGTTAGAATAATTTAATTAGAAGTCATGTTTCTGCTGTGTTTTCAGTCTCCTTCTTCCATCTCTACAAGGTGTCGCCCAGTCCCTCCCTCCTCTTTGACGTGTGCTTATTTATTTTTCACGGCTGCAGTTTTACCAGCTGTAATTTGTACTTACGGCTGCCAGTTACTGATTCCTCTCTTATTAATCCAACTGGTAAAATGTCTCCCCTGTCATGTTGTTCTTGCTTGATGCAAAAATCCTGCAAAAATGTCATTTCACAGGGGCTGTGTGAGTGTGCTGTGCTCGGTAACAATTTCGTTAGGTTTTAAGGAGCCACAAGGAAGGGGAAAGCGTACCTGCACACTCCAGACTACAAAGTATCTCGGTGAGACAAACTAAATGGAAGTAAACCTCCCAGCGTCAGTTCTTTACCATTTTACAAAATGAAATAGGTGGTCTCTGGGAAAACATCTCCTAAAAAAACCCAAACTTGTCCAGATTTGGGGTTTTGGGATGGCTGCACCCATTTCTACACGGGAAAGTCTCCTGGATTTGATACCACTGAAAAGTAGTTCCATGTTTCTATCTTGAAAATCGATGTGGCTTTTAAAATTTCAAGTTTTAGTGTCTCCCACTGGTTCATTTAATGAGCTACCCGAGTTATTTTATGCATGTTTAGTGTCTGACACACTTATCTTTTCTTCACTCCAATTCCCAGAACTGCACCATGAGTAATGCCTCGCCAAGTGCTTGCCAACAGAGCTTTTCTGTGGGCAAGAGCCTAGCCAGATGGCAAACTTCATTTTTTATCTCCATCTTGAGATTAATCACACATTTGGCCAAAATAATGGGCAGCTGGGCCGCTGTCTTTGTTTCCCAAACAGCACCCAGGGTGACAGGAGCAGGGCTCCCCGTTTGGGGCAGTCCCAGGCTGCAGAGGCAGGACATGGGTGTTTTGGGCTGGCAGAAATCAGGCTGTGTAGGGTCTCACGTTGACACACATTTCATTTAAGTTGGAAACGCTGGATGCCATCATCGACAATATAGCTAGCAAAAAGCTATTTAACTTTTTTCCAGCCATTTGCACGTGTACATACCACCAAAACAGAGGTGTACAAACCCTACTCAATCCTGTGCCACAGCACGTTCTCCTTTTTCTTCAACAGGCAAGGCTGCAGCCCCGCAGCTGAGCAGAAACTGTGTGGACATCAAAGGGAGCGTGACAGAAAGTCGCGGAGATCACGCTTCTGGGAAAAAAGCAGAGCTACCAGACCGAAAGCAAAGCCAATCCACTCTTCATGTCATATTCTCAGTCATAAATCAGTGAAGAAAGGAGATTCCAATGCAGAAAGTGGCTTCTAAACTGAAAGGTGTTCAGCATCTTCCAGGGGCTGTTGATGTACGGAGAGCTTGTTCTCGGGGCTACCGGGCTGACTTCTTACAGCGCTGTGTACAGGCGTCCTCTGCTGTGACTGAACTTTGTCCTACAAGTCGTCACATCAGTGCTCAGCCAACACCGCACTGTAATTGTGCGTGTACTAAAACCAAAGGGCAGGTGAGCTCCAGGCCCCTCCGGGGTCCTTGGGGACGCAGTGCCAAGCACCTCCTTGTTTCCTCTCCTGTCAGGACGCACACATCCACACACATCAACACACTGCTGTGAGGGCAGCAAAAGTGAAAATCCATGATCGTAACCTCCCTCTGCAGGACACCACATTTCATTGTTCAGCTCTTCTCCTTTTCACAAATCTTACCTCTGCCTCCTCCCAAATTCTGTGTCAAGTCTGCAGCCGTCTCAAGCTCCATACTCCAAATAAAACCATCTTCCATTGACCCCCCAATGATCCAGCCCTGCTCCGAGCTGGCCGAGCCACCGGAGCAAGCAGCGGGCCCAGCCACCTTCCCTCGCTTTTGCCCATCTCTAGCGAAGCGCATCTGCGCCTTGCCCTAAAACACAAAGGAGTTCTACCATGCCCCTCTGCCAGTGCCAGCAAAGCGGCTGCTTGGGAAGTGTGGCTGCAGACGGTGCCAAAAAAAGTGCAATTCACACCCTCACCTCAAAGGGGAATAAGCGATGGATTCGGCTCCTGTTCTGCTGCCAGCCGCAAGCTCAGGCTGGGAAAGTTTTCTAAGTAATGCTTATGATTTGAGAGAATGATGGCTATTATGTTTCTGGTAAAGTGAAGGACTAAGAAACAATCTGTGTGTAATTCTGTGCGTCGTTAAAATACAAGTTTATGATCCTTTTAGAAGAAGAGGCTACTTTAATTCAATGCAGAAATCAGGTTGTCAAGCTACGCTGTTTGGCGCCATCCATTCTTTTCCTCTTAAATTTTAAACAGCCTTTCTAAAATTGTAACAACATTTGCTGCATTAGGTTAGCAGCAATTTATCTGATACACAAACTACTCTCTTCCTCCTCCCCATATGATGAGTAATTTTTACATTTGTTGGTTTTTAATAAGCCACCTTGTGAAAGCCTGACTTTTGAAAGAGCACACCCCACTTATTGCTTATTTGATTTGTGGGTGCAATATCCAGACTCGGAGTGCACGCATGTGGAAACGGGTAATGAAAAGACAACTGAGGAGGCACACAGATCCCTGCTACAAAACCCAGGTGTATCGCTGCAACTTGCTTTTCACCTTCATTGGGACCACAGCAAAATGCTCTCTTCACACCTCCTGCCCAGAGCATCGCTGGGTTGAGAAGCACAGAAGGACGCCAGGAGCGATTCGGGTCAGCCACCGGACGCGTGTGAAGAGGGGATCTGCAGGATAACCCTCCTCTTCTGCCCCAGCCCGAGGAAATCTCTTGGGCCAGGACCCTGCAGGCAGGGAATCTGGGGACAGCCAGGCCTGTGAATGCCGTGGAGCCGTGCCCTGCTCACCACCAACCCTCCCTAAGGTTTCTTACTCCAGCCAAAGGCCTCCCAGCTCAATGGCTGTGGCTCCAGCACAAGCTCATTAATCGCACATAATTAAACAGCGATCACACTGATTTACCAACTGCGCGCAGACCCAAATACTCCACAAATACATATTCCATGACCGGGCAATTGGTAATTTGCTGTAGACACTAAGTAAATTGAATTTTCTGAGCTATTACCTCCTCGTGGGACGCAGCAGAAAGGGCTCTGCGCAGCAGCAGCACATCTGTACTTCATATTTTTACATTTAAATTAAAGAATCAGGCTCTTGTAACTTTAAATCTTAAGGTAACAGTGATCTAAAACAAAGAGTACAGATGATTTCCCAAAAAAAAATCAAAGGTGAGGAGGGCTGCTGACACACACAAGAAGGGATACGACAGTTTGACTCCCTTTGTAATTCCGCTAACCTAACACCCATTAACACCTGATATTGCCACAACAGCAGCAGTTGGAAGAACAGCTTACTTCAGAAACATTTAATTCTGCAGCTGCCTGAATACATCCCCTTTAACTTTCTAGTAGGAAAGTCTCTGCTTAGCCTAAAAAACTTTTAATGAGTTTGCCATTGCTTTTTTAACATTCCCAGTCTGAGTGTTTAAAAAAGACCAACCAACCAGAAAACCCTCTTAAAACAAAAGATCTAGAAGACAAAAGCATGTGGTATTTTTTATCTCCCCCCCATCTCCTTTTTTTTTAAATCAGTGTGTCAGATCTGAGAGCATACCTGATATGGATTAGCTAAGGAAAAGGAAACATATGATGAGATGAGGAAGGATACGGATTGGTCTGATCAATAAACCACACTATTACTGAGCTCCCCAGGAAACTCCAGCTCTAAGGTTTATTCAGGCAGCTCCTCCGGCCACACACGGCCTCTGGACATGGATTGTCTGAGGAAAGCCTGCTCTGGACAAACCTTAATGCTTGGTCTGGGACCTCAGTGGGATTTCAGTGACCCCTCTCCTTCCCTCCAGCACACCTGGGAGCTCCAAAGGTGCTTGCCATTACTTGGATTTCAGATCAGAAATGCAGCATCTGGCCGTACAGCTCTTATTTCTAGGCAAAGCCTCTCATTTTGAAGCAAAGCTGAAACAAAGTAAGTCCTTACCCACCAGCTCCACTGCTGGTTAGTGCCTCTGCTGTGTCAATCATGGAGACCTCTACATAAGATACAGTTTGCAAGAACACTTCTTATAATACTGCTTGTCTTTGCCAACGGTAACTTTTCAAGTACTTTGTAAAAGCAGAAAAAAATGTCATTTCAGAAGACAGGGATGAAGGAGAAAGACTGGTGTACCTGGGATCTGGTACCAGAGCCTGTTACACACTCACTAGGTCATCTTGCCTCTGCACACATC